TCTCTCTCTCTCTCTCTCTCTTTCCTTATCGAATTTCCAACTATAAAGAACATATTTTGCACGAGCGGGAACATTCACGCTGCATTTAATTCATCGAAATTTCTCGAGAGCGAAGATCGACGAACAAACCTCGGATAAAGACGTGTAAGGAACAGCGTATGGAAATTTCTGTTGTGGCCCGGTATACGTATAATTCAACTGCAAATCTCTATTCTAAAACACGATAACCTGAAAGGCTTACGTGCACGTACCTGAAATATACGGTTCCGTAAATTCGTCTTGAGGCCTTCGGGTTTCTCGAACGCGTTACGGGGTTACATTTCGTATGAATGAAAGCGAGGCAAACGAGGACAAAATGCGGATGGGAACGAGTGCAGACGATACACCAGGTGATTACTGGCAGAAAAATGCGGGGAACACGTAGCCTAGTTGAAAGAAAAAAAAAAAACAACGTCGACGATTTAAATTAAAAGCATTCGACGCGCTTGGAAAGGGACGCGCCTATCCTTTTTTAATTAGCGACATTTAGCGCTGCACGCTGTTCGTTGAATATATATACATGAAACTCGACGTTGAGTTAGATACAACGTTGATGGACAGTATTCGAACATCGCAGACGAGAGTACATTTGCTTCGTTTGCATATCAACCGAATCGTTTACGTTTGATCCCCGTGTTTCCACGGACAAGCAGATCAATCGAACAACCGATAGACTCGGATTGAAATAAATTCGCGGATCGTTGGATTCCTTCATCGATGATTTCGCAGCTGCTCGATCAGATTTTTCAACACCATCATTCTGGAATTTACATTGATACCGGGCGAACGGTCTGTCGATAATATTTAATATTACATAGCGATGGAAGAAAATGGAGATAGATAGGAAAGGAGAAAAATATTCGAGTTATCTTAAAAATTCTCTTGTTGTTAATAAGGGGGAAATATCTAGATTGAAAAGTTTCATATACACGGTACTGTATGGCTGTAAAATCTGTGAATTGGTTATCACAAAAGTTCATCAGTTTAGTTCAAAGAATACTTTTTTTATTTTCAATATTTATCTCTGATAATAAAATTTTTTAATTGTATACACTTTACGAATTATTTCATACTCTAAAATCCATATTATTTAATTTTTCCAATTTTAAAACAAATACATACGATATATTTCCTAAGACGTGGGTGTATGTACATGAAAGATGACTCGAAACAACACATTTTGTTCTTACCAATGAGCACGGAAAACCTTTGTTTTGTAAAACCTTTGTCTGCGATAAGACTGACAATTTACTATTAAAGAAAAATGGTCGGATCAAATGTTGGAAATTACCCGTTGAAATGATATTTGCGCTTAAAATTGACGTTGACGATGATTAAAACGCACAGGTTTTCTCTCAGAAACTGTAGCTGGACTCGAACAGTTCCTTGATTGCAACGAACGTCTTCCCTTTCATACGATAATTTCAATGAAAATATGAATCCGTATTTCACACTGAATGAAAGAACCATCCCCTATTTCATTCTGATATTTCGTCATCGACCAATGTGCCACAGACTCGTGGCCTGGAAATCAATAACATTTACCTGTACAACGCTGCATGATAATATTCGCAATTCAATTCAACAAATAGTTTATTCTTGATTGGTTCGGAGTTGTGTTTCGATATATATATATATATATTTTTTTTTTTTGGATAAAATTTTAATTTGAAATAAAAAAGACCTTACTTTCTTTGCACTTAATAAATAATGATAATAAGTAATAAATTTCTTCGTAGTTAAGAGAACTGATAGTTTTGAGATGAATTGTTAATAAAATAATAAAGCATAAACGTTTCTAATTAAGATTTTTAGTTCGTCAACAACAATAAAAGAAGAAGAGAAATATTAAATATTCCTCAGGAAGAATAAGTTTGGAACATTCTCTTCATTAAGCCTCTGTTGCCTCATTTCGACGAGTATGGCACAGTTTCTGAGTTTAATGACAGTTCCTTGCACAAAGTTCGCGAGTTGATTACACGGACACGTGATCCCTGATCAAAAATTGATGTTTTTATTAAACTGTCAACTACTTTCTCTTGAAAAATGACAAAGAAACAGACAAGACTTTGAAGTCTGAGTTGAATGAAACTCGAGGATTGAAGTTAAAGAAGTGGTTTCACGAAACGGATTGAAAGATCCTAATGAAGTTCAGGGAGAAGTAGCTCGTATGACGATGTTCAATTTCACGGATGACAAACTAAATATAAATTTGCTCGTCTAACTTTACGAAAATAGAGATAATTAAAATCGTCGTTCTGATAATATTAACTTCGAACATCTCAGAGTATTACATATCTTCGTTATTTTTATACGAAAATTTTTCGTGTTTTCCATAGATGACTCCTTCAATTAACAATTTCTAGATTCTATCAAAAGCAGATTATCAGCCCTCTTAATTAGATTAAATTTCATGCCGAGAAAAGGAATTTCTAAGGAAGGTATAACGATGGAGAACCACTTGTGATTGCTCATCAAAGGTCAAAGAACGGCTACAATGGAGAACCGCATTATATTCCGGTGACGTAGTAGTCCGCAGATCCGGTCATTTTCCTCTCTATCTTTCTCGTTCTCCCTGTCCATTAGTCGCGACAACGAACAGGGCTGACTCAGCCCATAAATAATTTTACACTTTCCATTCGATCGCCGAGGTCACACGCTCTGGAAATTTTACATTACCCTTTCACCCTTTGACAGAACCGCCATGAAAAAGTGCCCCTGTTTTACGAATCATTGCAAAAGCTTAGCGTACTACGTACGCGCTCCACGATAAAAGTTCGATTCAGTTAAATGAAATTCAATTTTTACAACGGCAGATTCCCATCCCCGTCGGCGAGAATTTTCTCTTTCATTTCACGTGGCCACGTGTGAATTGGGATTTCTTCAACTCCGAGGCACACATCTCTGCGAGTCATTTTTTCTTTTTTTTTTTTTTTCAAATTTCTACACGCGAGAAATGGTACTTTCATTGCAAATCATTGCAAATCAAAAAGTTGCAAGTTTTTCCTCCACATTTTAGAATCGAAATGGTGTAACTTTAACTCGTTTCTTTAGCAAAAGATTAGCTATCTACTCCCGTTTATGAATTAATCTGTGAACTAATGATTGTTACAAATAAATCATTTGATCGTTTTTCCAATGGTGTATCGATGAAATGCGATAACGAAGCAATAAATATTTTCCAAAGTCTGGCAATATCTAATTTTCAAGTTGCACGTTGCTGTAGAGTCAAAGGGTTGAAGCAACAAGAGAGACAGACAACGTCAGAGGAATGAACCGTTCGATGGCTTCTCAGTAAAAACAACTCGTCCAAGGATACTAACCGAAGAAGGGTAACCCTAATTTCCTGCTGCATTTACCCGACAGCTGTTTGTGCTTCGAAATTGCTTCTGCATTATTTAAAATTGCCAGGGCCGTGTATCATCGACCCTCGCGTTTCATCTCAACCCGCTATTTCCGTCTCTGTCGTTCATGAAAGCATCATAGTGTACGTGTCGCGCGCGATATATACGATATTTTCAACCCTTTCATCGCCCCAGGCTTTTAAAAATTCCTTGTAAATTGCAAAGGAACAGAAGCCAGAGTTAACTCGATCGGTAGACTGTTGTTCTATTTGTTCGTGAAATTTATCCACATTGTTCTATCGACAATCTTTCCGTTCGTTTCACCAATCTTTTTAATTTTGTAAAAACGCGTGACTTGATACTTGATTGTAATAGAGCCGAGTGACTCGAGTATCGAGGAAGGAAAGAAAATCCTTATAGAGTTACGAAGATTTCGTCGAATACTATGAAAGATTTAACAAACGAAAATTCGATTTAGAAATTTCCTTTCGACTATTAATTTCTCAAGCTTCTTCCGAATTCAAGTTCTAGAGATGGAATATATCCTAGACATGTGTACGAGTAATTTTTGAAGAAAATCTTACAAACGTCTGTGTTAACATTTGAGAAAGGGAAAAAATAGAGAGCGAAAACAGTAAGAGAGAAGGAATAATATGAAAATTAAATTAAATTAAATTAAAGGAACTTAGGAAAGAAAAACAAAGGAAGGAAGAGAAAAGAATAAAGAAAAAGGAAGCAAAAATTTATCTGCATTGACCTGACGTCATTTACATGCTGCCAGTATTTAAATAGACGTCTCAACTCTGTGAGCACACACCTTGATTGATACTTTCCACTCATCTGTTCTGAAACTTCATATTTCTTCTGGCGAAACATTCGAGTAACAATAAAAATTCCACACAGAGGGTCCTCATCGTCCAAAGGATCCGAGATATTCGACCCTCAAAATTGATCGAAATCATGCATATGACATCGTTCACGTCGTGTGACAGGTGATGATCGTCGACGATCACCAGCTGACGATTAATCAAATCCGTGCTATTAATCGTGGCATAATTTAAATGAATAAAAGAAAGATAGTAAAATCGAACCGGGAAAGGACAAACGACGAAAATGATCCAGTCATGTCAACCTTCAATCCCTCGTGAATGTAAACCGTCGAATTATAAGCTTACTGTTCTGCATAGGACACGCGCACGTGACGGATTTCAACATCGCGACAGTACTGGAGGATGGAGAATTAGCTACGTCGATGTCAGGAACAAAACCGTACATAGGTATGAATTAATTTTACGAGTATGTGCTCTACTTGAGCCGCTAGATTAGGCTCTATTAATTGAGCGTAAAGTACACCGGGGAATAATTCGTTTTGAGCTTTACGAGCTTCTACGATCGTGATAATCAATAATTGAATGATTTTAGATGCAATTAGGCAATTGGGCAATTACCCGACGATAACATTATGTTTTGACGAATGTAAACCAAAGATTGACTAATGTAAAATCATACTCGATCCTTGGATCTTTATATTTTAATTTTACTTTCAATTTTCAGTAAGCGGAAAAGAAGTTTTAGAAAAAAAACCTCAAGCACGAAACGAGAAATCATTTGCATACCAATGAAACTTCTTTAATATATTATTTTGTTCAGATAGTTTTTGTTAGAAATAAATATTTGTTAATTGAAATAACATTTGTTAGAAATAAATATTGAAATTGTTAATTGAAATAACATTTGTTAGAAATAAATATTTGTTAATTGAAATAACATTTGTTATTGTTAGAAAAATATTACTAGGTTGAAAATAACTGTACGAATGGTCGATACTTGTCATTCATAAAATATCAAAGATATGAAATATTTGAAGAGACTTACATGCGTAAGATCTTTTTCTTTCGTTATCCCTGCATTACATCAAATATCTCTTGGAATATTATCCTGGCACAGCTCCGGAAATTTACATGTGTTCCTGCGAGGAATACGGTGTTCTTGGTTACGGTTTCGCCGTGGACTGGTGGAGTCTGGGAATTCTTGCTTGGGAAACTCTTGCCGGAGAACGTCCTTACCCGCTTTGCTCCACTACGACGCATAGAGAGGCTTTACAGATCCTTCAGGTAAAATTGTCGATAAAATCTTCTCATACATTCTCTCCTCAAGAATGCTGTTGCATGTGTTTTACAATCCATTCTTTAATATTATACATTTTCATGGTAGCCTTTTTTTTTTTCTTTTAAAATCTACACGTATTTCGTCCCTTTTAATACGCCACAAGACATTCCTTCGAAAAGGGAATATTGCAGGACTAAAAATATTGAAACTATCGGTACACTTTGTACAAAAAAAAAAAAAGCTTTGAACGTTATACTTTTCTGCGTTAAGGAAGTAAGATTAACCGTCCAAAAATATCGATGAAATTCGCGATTATTTTTGCAGGTAATTATTAATTGAATAGTTCAATCTTTTCAAGTAATAAAGTATAAATTTCAGATTGCTTACTCTCAAGAAATTGGAGAACTTTTCATCTAATAATTGTCTTACGCATTTATCAGAAAATTTTAGTAGTCTTAATAGTTAATCTAGTACAGTTTTTTAATCGAAGTCCTATTTTTTTTCAATTATATTCCTAAAAATACATATTTGCGCGAATGGCATTTTTTAACGAGTGACGTCGATCTATCCCTTAATTCTCGAAGCTTCTCAGCTCTCGAGTACATATATGTTGAAACGAAAGGAACGTTCTTCAGAAAGAAAGACCGACACCCGCTGACTGGAGTTCCACTATCAGCGAACTCTTGGACAGATTGCTAACCGTGCCACCGGGCGCGCGGATATCAACTCTGAAGGAGCTGAAGCAAGTGAGCGCGATGAGAGAACTCGACTTTGACAAAGTGTTGAACAAGCAGATAAAACCGCCATTCACGCCGCCGAAAGATCACCTGAACTGCGATCCGACATTCGAGCTAGAAGAGATGATCATCGAGACGAAGCCGCTGCACAAAAAGAAAAAGCGTCTAGCGAAGCAAAGGTAAGCGGATTCCAGAGAATAAAGAGTTAATTGCTCTAGATTCTAGCTAGATAGATGCGATGTCGCATGATCTTGCCTCTTGCTGAAGGGAAATTAACGTCAAAGATGTCGATCTGAGACTCGTCCTCTTCCTCCAATATTCATCGTTCTCGGGAGAAAATTCCCCGCGACTTTCCTCTATTGAAGTAATAAATAATTGATTGTTAAATTAGAGAATTATATAAAGATGGAACGAAAATAGGAAAGGCAAGAGGAGTTAGAAAGAAAAACAAAAAACTGGGAAAATAGGAAAAATTCTAGCTTAGAGAAAGAGCTTATAATTAGAGAAATCAAAGCTTCAAATCTAATAAACTTGTGTCTAATTCCTCATAAGTACATCCATCATTTTACGCCTTTCTATTTCGTTCTATAACCTCTGCCATCCAGTTATAATTACAATCGTAATTCGTATGCATCGTTGCTCGAGGAATATTCATTTAGATATACATCTCATTCAGATATCTCCATATTAAACGGGCGATTTGCCATCGGTGATTTTCCATTTGACAAAGAGAAATAGAGTGCTTGACTTCCGGCGTTGTCGTGCGCAGATCTCTGAAAGTCGATCATCCCCCTGAGGACACGGCGGTTGAGCTCGCGGAAGGCGCCGCAGGACCGAGTGTCGATCTCAGAAGATTAGCATTCATCCCAGAATACCGAGTTTACAACCGTGAACGCGAAATGGAGAGACAGGAAAGGGAAAAGAAGGAGAAACAGTGGGAAGAGGATTTGAACACTGCCATGAAGGGTGCCGAGGAAAGGCTGAAGTGAGTTAAACCGCTCGTCTAATTACCTCTGCTCTGCTCCGTCGCAATTGTCTTTCTTTTTACTCTGTTTGTCTCTCTCTCTCTCTCTCTCTCTCTCTTTTTCTTTCTCGTGAGAGACGAAGGATAGAGGTAATTCTGAGGTAGCTAAGAGGGAATTTAATAAGTGAGGTAAATGAGGGTTTTGTGATTGGAGATGATGGTCCGTGCAAGCTGTGGAGGAAGATAATTGCAGACGGATTTTTCGTCGCGCGGTAAAGAAAAAGGAAAAGAAGAAAGAGGAAAAAGTGAATTACAAGGAATGTTCATTTATCAATTGAAAGAGGTATGACATTAAGTGGAACGGAAAGAGAGCGAAGAGGTTCGCGAAGATATTTAATTTCAACGAGTATATCTTGTTGCTTTTCCACATCCCTTCGTAATATAATAAATGTCGTTAGATCTCAATTCACCGACGTGGCCTTTCTCTTATAGCCTCGAGTTCTATCAGGAAGATTTTACTACCAGTGGAGAGAATAGTAAATTTTGAATTAGCCACTGGGATCACGGGGCGCGATTCTCGTATAAAGTTCTCTGAATAAACGATCGACGATTTCCAGCGATCTTTACATATTTGAAGTGGTAGTAGAAGGAAAGCCATCGATCCGAAGGAAGCCTATATATCTGCCTATACGTATCAGACTATAAATTCCATGCCGAGGAAAAAGTTATAAACGCTCCTTCACGAAGTTTCAAACTCGCGATACATTTGGAGCACAGCCAACTGCAACAAGAATTGAGCTCTCCGGCATACAAAGCACGAATCGTTCCGCTGATATCCTTCGGATTCTCGATACAAAAGCGTTTTCTCCTTTTTTTTCCAAAATTTTTTACAAAAGTCTTTGAAGTCTAAAAGATTTCTTTTACTTGACTATGTTCTTCACGTGGGTGCTGTCATTCAGTATTTTTGTGATTATTTGCAATTGTTTTGTATTTACAACTGTTTGAAGAGCGACTTTGACATGATAATTGCAGAACGAAACAACAGCCGGTACAGCGAACAGGAAATCGGCTGAGCGTCTCTACAACCAGCGTGAAAACGCGCATAAGCGCATCCCCGAGGCAAGGAAGGCGCGCTAGCACTGTAACTTCGTCGGATATCGACTACATCGACGCAAGTCCCGAGCCTTCCACATCGTAAATTTCTCCTGAACAATTTCTTGTGCACGAAACATGAACGTTGGCGTGTATTCTCGGCAAGAACATTCTGAACAGTGATCGTTATTGAAAGACGTTCAGTCCCCGATTCGTAGAGATATCGAAGTACTTATTTAAAAAACTTGGTTCACGATCGTAGTAAATTGATCTTGTCTTTCGAATGATGGATTCTTCAGTCAAATGGCTGTTAAAAGACAATTTGATAATCGTGAATTCAATAAGAGTAAGATCACGGGAAAACTTAAGATACTTTCACCTCCTTTCTTTTTTTCAGTCTTGTAAGAGTTTGATAAAGATGATATGAAGTATGAAAGAAGAAAATCACAAAGAAATTTCTCTGCGAATAATTTTTCAAAGAAAGAAAGAAAAAAGAAAGAAATTAACTCGTACCTCAAACGATTGATCTCACGCCGCTTCTTGATCCCTCTTAAGGGAAAGCGTATCGTTTATTTTTGTAAAGAACGAGAAATAAAAAGGAACACACTCCCCGACCAAAGTGAAGCCTTTTAAAGAGCATTTTACCAAACCGAAAACTTAATGGAAGAAAAGAAGATGGCACACGCTCCTTTCTTCTTCCTCGAACTCGCCTTTCTTCAGGAAATTCGAGCGAGTATATACGGTACCAAGAAATATCCGGAACAACCTACAACTCACTCCTCACTTTAATACATAGTTGGTATATGCTGCTTAACTTCCCTTTTAGAAAGTTACAGAAGTTCGTGTAGTCTCAGATCCGATGAATTTTGTAATATTAAAATTAAGCTCGTAAGATCGTAGAAATATAAAAGCAAGAATCGTATCGATCGAATTCTTTAGTAAATTACGATTAACTTTGTCAGGATCGCGTCGTTTCTCATATCTTTGATTCATATTCTTCACCTGCCATCATTTTGCATATACCTCGAGTCTTGTTATTAACAATCATTCCTCTGATAATCAACCGACGAACACCAAGAATAATGTAATTTTATAAATATAGTCATTAAGAAAGAACATACGTTGTAACGTGAAAAATTAAAAAAATAATTAAAGGATAATCGAACGACTCGAATATTATCTATCCCTGTTTCCTCTATATGGCTTGTTGATTTTGCAATGTTGTCGCTTTCAAATCAGATCAGATTCCCTTTTTTTTAGTCCACGATCTATCATCGTACAAGATGAACATTTGAAGAGCGAGTAGACAAGAGAGAAAGATAGTATGCAATTCATGTCACGAAATTCTCGACATTCTGTTTGTAATTGCTATTTAACAAAAAGAATTCTAAATGGACATCTAATATTAAACTAGAACGCGACCATCTAAAGAAGGAGTGTCAAATAATCGATAATAGCGGCGCCGATTCGCGATAGATAAAGAGAATGAAATAACACAGTTTTAGTTCTTCCTGCTTTCTTTTTCAACAAAAAGAACTCTTTCATTTATGATTAATTAACGATCAAAAAAACTATATAGTACAGATGAAGAAAAGAAGAACGATTCGTATCCTTGGTTTATAGTGGGATAAAATCTTAAAAAATGTTTATAGCAAAATAACGATAACGAAAGATTAACACAAAAAATTACGTTTACTCGATATATTACTATGGAAAACATAACGATAGTAAGTATAAAGATAAGAGTGTGTATTATCAAGACGAGATTGAGAGAAAACTGCAAAACAAACATTGGCGAAGATAAATTTAATTCGAGAATGCAAATTTTTTATCGATATTATGGGCTTCTCTTTACTTCGATTAATAAAATGAAAATTCTGTACAGTCTTTACAAAGGTGAATAAACAAGATTATAAGTTCATATTTTCTATTTATTTATTTGTATCTTAATCGATAGAATAGATTTGAGAAGAAAAACAAATGAAATAAAGAAAAATGAAATTCTAACAAAATTTAATTAACTTATTATCCAGTGTCACGAACTTTACAGAAAAATTTGACTAGCAGATTCTTAATGTTGTACAATTGAGATAATTATATAAAAAGAAATTTCTATTTCTTTCTCCATACATTCGCATATTAATAATTTCTATGAAAGCATTAATAATGAAGAAATTAATAACTATTAATAACTGGTAAAAATAATAACGACCTATATTTTGTTCTAAGAATAATTAATCACATTTATTAATATCACAAAAGTATTGCCATTATTTTGGCTATTATACTCACATTACTGTTAGGTATCTCTCTTTATTATCTGATTTTTGGAAAATCATGTGACTATAAAGTACAACGGTATGAAAATTGCATATCTATATCTGCTCTTAATGAAAATATCCTTTCAGAAAAATAGAGTATCTAATAAACAAAAAATATTAGTTTTATTTTCACATGCTTCGTGTGTTATTTATAAATTAGCTAACTAACATATCATTGTCAGTCTGTAATGTCAGATAAGCGTTATCAAATGCTAGATATACATCTTACATGAGTATCTTCATGTGCTATGTTTTGCAAGGAAATATTTAAATTCATTATTCTTAGTGTTAAATATCTTTTACATGATCACAGTAAACGTTATTTGAATTATCAATTATTAATATCATAAGCTTATTGATAAAACAATATTTGTATAAACATTGATTTCAACATAAACCTGGCACAATTTCCGAACTATTAATTTTTATGAGTTTTTGTCCCATATAAATTAGCAAAAATAAGTTGATCTAAATTAAATACCTCAATGACTGATAATTATACGTACTTAATTTGTTGTGTATAACACACACGATTATTTTTCACTTATTGTTTATACAAAATACATTATAAATTATCTATAAAGTTTTATATACTTTGATTTTTATAAACAACCATCAATTTACAAAGTTAGCAGACATCGACAAGCATATTTACAAAAAATATGCGTCGAATACTAAAAGGTATTTTACAATTACTTAGAATAATACATATTATTCTAAATCATTGCGTATTTTCTAAAATTTAAGTGTTTTTTAAACCGAAGTCATATCTGTGACTTCGATTCTAGATATTGGTTTAGCAGGTTCTACTATTATGAAGTCACGCGCGTTAATATTTTCAGTAGATTCCACTCCAATACATAGTTGTTGCAAATTTGCCATTATTGAATCAACTTGTATCGGTTTATCTGGCAAATCATTATTCTTTCTCAGTTTATTGAAGTGAAGATAACAAATACCTCGATGTCCTAACCAAGTTATTTCATTTGGTTTAATACCACGCTCTAACAAAGCATTTTTCAAATCACGTATTCTGGCACCGGATGAAATATTTGATAATTTTAAGGAAAATTCAACCTGAGATTTAGACTTTAATTTTAGATTTTTACGACGTTGCTGTATATTCTTATCATTTCTTTCCATTTTCTCCTAGAATATTAGAATAATGTATATTAGTATAATATGTATATATTTTATACATACACATTATTACAATATTTCTTACCTCTGCAACGTTGGAAAATACATTATTGTCTCTTGAATTGACCTTATTAAATGTACGTTTTTTAAGAAAACGTGTTTTTACTTGTTTCTCTCCTTCTTCGCCAATATTATCATCATTTAAAATAATCTTTTTTGTCTTGAAACGTTTCTTATTTTTTACATAATTAGGACGATAAGTTTTTTGTGTCTCTATATCCGAATCCTCTTCTTTCAAAGTTACTACTTTGCCTTCTCTAAAAAAACACAACTATTTAGTATCTTGCTTTCTCTAAAAAAAGCACAACTATTTACACAGAAACATATAACATCGATTATATATTTTAATGCATACTTTTCATCTATTTCTCTTAATTGCTGTAGTACAGGCATAGATTTGATTCTTCTTTCACTAAGCATATGCCACATAATACAACTAGGCTTCTTTAATTTTGGATTTACTATTATTGTTTGAGTAGGTGTAACAATTATATCAACAGGTACATCATATTCTTTGAATATTTGAGGTGGAAGACTATCAAAGATTTGACAGTCATGCACAGTTGTGACAACTATAGTATCTTGCGTGACTGCACCCATCCTCATCATCATAGCAAATTCTAAATCTGCAAATCCTTTACCTTTACCGAGTCTGTATCCATCACGACTGACACACACAGATCCTAATACTACAAAATCTATCTGAGAATAAATAAAAATAATGTATACAATAATCTAAATAATAATAAATCTTTATCATAGTAATAAATAAAATTTACTATAATAATATACCTTTATTTTGGAATCTATACCAAGCGGTTTACCAGCTTCTGTCAAGCCATGAATTTTTGACAATGTTCTCAGTTCATTTTTTGAAGAACCAGCAACTGGTGTAACATGAAGAAACAAACCAGATCTTAGTCTGGGGATTGGAACTAATATTTCCATATTGGCTTCTAATGCTAAGAATCTTACAGGTTCTTGCGGCTTGTCTGGATTTATCTTTATCACTTTTGCCTGCTTGAAGACTTCCAACTTTGTCAAGCGCTGTGCTGCTTCAGCAGCACCTTTGAAATTTGGTATGCGATTGTATACAGTAAGAGGAAAATTGACTAACTCATTTTTCATCAAGTAATCCCATACTTTTTGACGAAAACTATATTTAGTTATCTCTGTTGCTAAAACATATTATACAAATTGCATGTTTTAAATATTAATATTTTCAAGTTATAAAATCAAAACTATATTCATTATTACTTATAATTAATTAATATATCATATATTGCTATTCCCATTTAATTTTATTATTAATATGATGAAATTAAAGAAATAAAAAAGAAAATTCAATACAAGTTAGAAATATATATTAAAATCAAATTTTTTATAGATAAGTGTTCCAAATTAAAAATATATGTCTAATAAATGTTTGTAATACTCACGCAACTGTTCTTCGGTCATTTTTATATGTTTTTTTGTCGAATTCTATTAATTATAAGTTATAAAATGTATATTATAAAAATAGATTATATGATTTATCTCTGGTTCTTTTTTATGCTTGTTTCTATATTACGCAAAATCATGTCGGTAAACGTATCGTAATCAAATCCACCAAAATTTTGTTATATATACTTATAAAATTTCAATCTGAAAATTTCAATCTCATAAATGCATTTTGATAAATCAAATCTTATATAATTTTATAAAAGACTGAAACAGGTTATCATATTTGACATTTCCGATTGCAGGAGAATCAGACACAACTGACGTAACTATACAGACATTTCAGGCGCGAAACATTGAGTTAGTGAAGTTAGAATATTCATACTTATTTATCTTATTATACAATGCACACAAAAAATTCGAGTATAATACATTGGCTGATTAATAATCCCATTAATATATTACTGTATAAAACATATACTAAAGTATATTACTATATATAATAAAACACGAATAAACTAGACGAATTGTTTGAAATTACTAGTAGCATTGTTCACTAAGTTTAATAGTTATAAACATTTATTACACATACTCGATCTACTCCGAAAAAACGCGAGACAAACCGATTTCAAATGGCAGGATCGTACTACTTGGGCCCCATTCATAAATTGTTTAAATGTTAATATTTTCAATGAAAAGCTACCATACATAAATTGTACTTTTTGGCAATTTTTTTGTACAACATAATTAAAGAGAAATTTGTACTTTTTATTTGATTTTGTTAAATTTCCCTAATAATATCTAAATTTTTGATACATTACTGGTGCATGAATGCAAGAGTGGGATAACACCTAAGGTCCATCCGTAGAAAATGGCTTTACTCACGAGAAACTTCTGCAAAATATTTTCACAGGTAATGTGAGCGTTCGAATAAAATAAAAAATTGAAATTCTTTCGCGGGAACAATAACATTCAATAAATTACAATCACATCAGAATGTCATCGAATATTGTTCATTTATTTATCAACTCAATTAGTTCCCAATAACTATTGCAAGGACATTGGAATACTTTTCTGAAAGATACGCAAAGATATTTTTTAATCGTAAATGCTATTTCAATGATTAAATAAATACTCTGCAAATATAAAGTTAAGTAAATGTTCGAAATTCAATAAACAAAATGGATTAAATGATTGATTTCAATAATTGTGTTATTTAATCATTACGTTCACATCTATATTGTTATAAATATAGCTTTGAATAAAATATTTATAGCTTAATTATATACAGAGAAAAAATTTTTTTTGCATCATTAAATTATATTTTTTTTTGACTTTGTTTATAGCTTTTATCACTTACAACATAAAATATAATTTACAGACTGCTCAAATAGGAGCTGTCAGGTCTTTGCATGTAGGAACAGTGCGTCTACAAGAATCTGTATGTATCAAATTATCCTTCAGAAACATTTATCACATGAATGATATAAACTATATTTTCTTTTAGACCGTTGAACAAGAAGGAAAAGTAAAATGTACCCTTATACCAGGAGATGGTGTAGGACCAGAATTAGTAGTTTCTGTCCAAAATGTTTTCAAAGCTGCAAGTGTACCGGTTGATTTTGAACCTTATTTTCTCTCAGAAGTAAATCCAACTCTGAGTGCACCTCTTGAACAAGTATCCAATAGTATTGCAAGAAATCGAGTATGTTTAAAGGTAATTTTATATTTCTATTAAATGTCTATAATTAAATCTTTCTATTAAAATGTCAATAATTGATAATGTCAAAGATATAAATTTGAATAACAATCATGTTTTACAGGGTATTTTAGCAACACCAGATCATTCTTCAACTGGAGAACTTCAGACATTAAATATGAAACTACGTAAAAGTTTAGATTTATATTCAAATGTTGTACATGTAAAGTCTTTACCTGGTGTTAAATGCCGCCATAAGAATGTAGATTGTGTCATTATTAGAGAACAAACTGAAGGAGAATACTCTGCATTGGAACATGAATCTGTAAAAGGTGTAGTGGAATGTTTAAAAATAGTAACTGCAGCTAAAAGTCAAAGAATTGCAAAGTTTGCATTTGATTATGCAGTGAAACATAATCGTAAAAAAGTCACTTGCGTTCACAAAGCTAACATCATGAAACTTGGTGATGGTCTTTTCTTAAAATCATGTCAAGAAATTGCTAAAATGTATCCTAGGTAATTATAAATATCTTTTATTTTATAAATTTTTATTAAGACTTAAAATTGACACACTTTTAATGCAACTTCAGAATTACATTTGAAACAATGATTGTGGATAATTGTACAATGCAAATGGTATCTAATCCACATCAATTTGATGTAATGGTATTACCAAATTTATATGGTAACATTTTGGATAATCTGGCATCTGGATTAGTTGGTGGTGCTGGAGTAGTTGCAGGTGCTAGTTATAGCCCTGAATGTGTTGTCTTTGAACCGGTAAGATTATAAATATAATAATGTATAAAAATAATCAAATTTTTTATATGAGATATTAAGAAATTTAGTTTATTATATAGGGTGCAAGACATACATATTCAGAAGCTGTTGGTAAAAACGTTGCAAATCCTACAGCTATGCTTTTGTGTGCTGTAAAACTTTTACGTCATGTTAATTTAAAACGTTATAGTGAACAAATCAGAGATGCATTAAATCGTGTTCTAAATGATGGAAAAGTATTAACAAAAGATTTAGGTGGACAAAGTTCTACAACGGAATTTACAACTGCTGTAATACACTGCCTTCGTTAATTTTGAATATATATTGATTTTAAGAAGACTTATGTAAAATAGACTCGCATAGAATAGGAGCATTATGCTCATTTCATGTTATGCCATGAATATTTAATGCAACCATATTAAATTGCATAGTATTATCTCATCACAGATTATATGTATTTTAGTTGTTTTAACTATAAGTTATATTATCAGGATTTTATTTAAAAAGGATTACATGTTATACATAGGAAAGACCAATATTTTTTTGTGTCAATATGATATTTATAACTGAAACTATGTTTGTAACCAGACAATGCCAGTTGTATAATAATAGTGTAATATTCAAATTGTACATTAATAAATTATACTACCTCACATTATTTTTATGCAATTTATGACATAACCTTACTCTTTCTCTATTTATATTAATTTATAATATATATATATATACAAGCGTTAATTTAATATTAACAAATTAATTAACATATTGAAATTGTTATAACTAAATATACATGTATATACATATATTTTAGTAAAAACACGTAAAAATATAACCCATATTTGATATTTTCATTTTTCATTCATATGTTAATCAGTATTATCAGTCACATTCTGTTTTTACGCACAGTAAGAAACACATAAAAGAACTATCAAAAAACACGTGCCTCAATGGACACCGGGCACCATGCAATAGAACTTATTCACCAGGATATTGTAAAAAGTCATCTTCAAGTTACAGCTTTAATACAAGTAAATATTATTCAAAACAAAAGTTTTTTATAGTAATCATGACATAACCAATGCCATGATTGGCATAACCATTGAATTTTTATTATAACATTAAATAATATAAATAAAATATATTAGTTATTGATAAATTTATGTTTATAATTGCTATCAAATTAATTATGAATAAATTCATTATATTGAAATTTTATTGTAACAATAATATTATTTGAGGTTAAATAAAAAACAGTTGTATTTTTATTGTCATTTATTTAAGAAAATTCACTAATTAATATGAATTTTTCAGGATATTCAACAATGTACTGGCCCTTTAGAATTACTTAATGAATTAAATGCAGAAGGTAGAGCAAAAATAGCAGCTCTGAAGTTATCTATAGATAAATTAGTATCAGTTGCAGAAAGGGAATCTTCAGAGAAAAAAAAGGCAGAGTTATTGGCAGAAGTAGATACTTATAAACAACAACTTAGTACTTCTTTAGCTGCATTTCGTAAAGCTAATGTTGTTAGTGTATGTGTGATAGATAAACTTGCTAAGGAAGAGTTGCTCTCTATGCCTGAGGAGCAACAAGCTGCTGTTCGTAGAAGACATGACAAGCAAAACCTAGCAAACACATCAAATCAACTTTCAGACAAACTTTTAAGTATATCTAGACATTTAGCTGAAACAACTCAAAAAAGTGCAGATACATTGGATACACTAAGTACTTAGTTAATTATTTTTTCTAATATATTTTGAATATTAAAATATAATTTTTAATTCATATTATTTCAAATTTTTTTAGTAACATCATCAGACAAAGTTATCACTACCAAAGATGAATTAGAACATCAACAACAAATTATAGTTCAATCTGGAAAACTTTTAGGTAAATATGGTAGACGAGAAGTTACTGATAAAGCTTTAGTAACATTGGCATTTGTATTTTTCCTTGCCTGTGTCTTTTATATTTTACAAAAGAGATTATTTTGAAAATATAAAATATTACACAGAGAAAAGTGAAGACAGTATCTTTTCTGAAAAAAGATGTGTCTTTTAAAACATAGTTTAATTGTTAATAACTTTCTGTATAATGTTATTTGTTATTTAACTTTAAAAAAAAACTGTGTTTTGTAATTATATTATTTTATTGTGGAAATAAGAATATTTATGAACTAGAAAAACTTCCAAGCTACTTCTTTTCTCAAAAATGGTGTAACTTAGAAGTCGTTAATGTATACGTATCGGTGTAAATGTAATGTATACAAATACTTCATCACCAAAATTGATTAAATACTGCCAATTGTTTTTGAATTATACTGTCCTGTAATGAAAATGTACTGTAAAAATTCAGAATCACATTTCTGTGATGTAGTTCACGAAATCAAATAATGCATTGATTATACATTTTTACAGCTACTCATAAATTCTTCTTGAGATATAACTCCATCCTTGTCAACATCCATCTTCTCGAAAACTTTATCTACGTGTCTGTTGACTATCCGTTGAATAATCTGCCCGTTATGTAGCATTTCATAAATTGCGGATATTACGACTAGCATTTCCTTTCTTGTGATATAACCGTCTCCGTTTAAATCGTAAAATCTAATGAAAGGCAAGAATAGAAAGTAACATTAAATATATCATGAATGTAATATGTAATTTGGGTGAATGATTACCTGAAAATCCAGAAGAGCTTTTGATCTATATTACCATTAATAATTAAAGCAATTTCATTAAGCAGGTCCCCGAAGCTGATGATGCCCTTCCTATCTTTATCAAAAGCGTTAAAGACGATTTGCGCGTATTTCCCTGAATCTCCCAACGGAAATAATTTTGCGTAAGCGGGTTTTAGATCATTCGTGGTTACGGCCCCTCTCGGACAATATTGTTTGAAGACACGATATAGTCTTCGTATCTCATCCTTTGAAAATCCCGTTTGATGCATTAAAAAAGAGAGTCGCTCCGGAAACATGTACAGCGGTTGTTTTTCATCGTCTTGCATATTCTCTACGAAAACGCAGTGAGGTTGAACACTCGTCGAAGTTTCTAAAAGTATTAAAAATACTCATATACGATAATTTTTCTATCCCGTCGGAACAATTGATAATATTTCGGTATTAAAGTATTAAGAAGATAACAGTCAATATCGCGTTAATGCGAATTAACGAAAGCATTTTATTTTACGTTGGAAATTCGTAATATTACACCTCTTACATACCAGTTATTTTTTGGATGCTTTTCTTCATCTTCTTAAAACCCCGTTGCATTTTTAACGAGAGGCTTATATTGCTTCTAATCTGTTGGATGCTCTTATTGTCAATATTAAGATTAGACATTATTGTGACACGAATTTAAGCATTAAAGATTTCTAGGATAGAAAAAAATGATTGAGATAAGGAAAAAGAAATTTTCTTAACTTTAGAATAAGAAAAGATGTATTACGTTGGCCGTTACCATTTTTAATTGTTTCCATATCAACTGAAAAGATAGTTAAATAAAAAATAGATAGTTTAAAAAAAGGATTGCCTGATTGAACCCCTGAGAAAATCGAAATTCAGAAGCTTTCTGAATCAGAAGCAAAACGGAACTGGCGCAGCTGACTTGAAGGAGTTGCTCTGAGGAAGCTACTGTTGGAACTACTCAAAATATTTAGACAATTTACAATGTCAACAACTCTAAACTTAATAGATCAGTCGTAAATTTTTCGAATACTGCGGTAAAAATAATTCCTAAGTATTAGTTTACATTTAAGA